GTTGAAACAGAACCTGTCGAAGACCCAGAGTTATATGAAGAATTAGGCAGATAGGAAAAGAAGGGATTTACAACTGGAAGTGGGAGAATTTGCCTTAGTCAAGCTCCAACCGTATCGTCAGCATTCAGTTTCCTTGAGAAAGAACCAGAAGTTGGGACTGAAGTATTTTGGTCCATTTGAAGTCATAGCTCGAATTGGTACAGTGGCTTACAAGTTGAAATTACTGAACACGACCATAATTCATCTAGTTTTCCACATTTCACTGCTTAAGAAGTTTTAGGGAGACCCTCAGCAGCAGTATTTTCCTCTACCATTGACAACAACAGAAATTGGTCCCCCATCCAACCCCTTAGAGTCCTAGCTTCTCGAACCATTTTTAAAGGCTTATTTAAAATTCCTCAATTTCTAATTCAATGGGAGTTGACAACACCACATGAGGCTACGTGGGAGGATGTTTTGGAGATTAAAAAGTGATTTCCACAATTCAACCTTGAGAACAAGGTTGCTTCGGATGGGGAGGGCAATGTAACATGTAACCAAGGGACTGCCAACATGGCTCATGAACTGGAGCAAGATATACAGCTGGACAGTGACATCAAAGCAGAGTTAGTTATGCCTAGTGGCCAGATAACACTTAATCCGAAAAAAGGGGCACGAGGAAAAGCACAAAGGTTAGGAAGAGAAGCACAAAATTGGAAGGATATGCAACAGGGGGGATTATGCATGTGGATATAAAGATTGATTCGACATTCTATTAGTTATTCTATCTTTTCGAATACAAAGAATGTTGATTCCTACTTATACGTTAATTTCTTATTTTTTTATGGACACTTACATATTCATTACGAGATTGATGTTGGTTCATTTGTTTATTCATATTGTTCTTAAAACATTTCAACAATTTATTTTCCTAGGACAATTACTGTTTCAAACGATTAATTAAGTGTCTCAAATCTATGCTTCAGATAATCTGGTGAGTGATTTTGTCTTAAAAATCGTACTTGGTTGACGTAAACGAGACAAAACAGTTCCTTTTGTTTTCTTGTTTCTTCGTCTAATTAAAATGAGAAATTTTCTATAGATTGTGTGTTTTTGTTTTCATGTTTTCATTAATACATACTTCCATATCCCTTCTTTATTTAGATTTCAATTATAGTGAGAAACTTTTAATTAAGTCTTCTTAACTTATATAAAACTAGTGAAAAACATAAATATAAAATTTGTGTGTTCATATTCTTTTTTTAATCATAAAAAAATAGTTATTGAAATGAAATAAACAATTATTCCAAATGTATATACTCTAACAATAATTATTAAAATTAATATTGTCTTTGTGTAAATGAGCTTATTCGCGTGACCCAGCACCTTAATTAGTCACGTGTGATTCAATTTTTTTTAATCAAATAAAAAATAGTCTACAAATATTTTATATAGGTGTGAAGAAAAGGTCTAATCATCTGCATTTTTTTATATAAAAAATAGATTACATATGTTAAAATTGGATAAAATTGTTGGAAAAACAATAATAATAATAATAATAATCCTGATTTTGATTCTAACAATCAAACATAAACATAATCTCATACTTGATAAACATGTTGTAAGCTGAATGCAAAAGCGTACACGAATTAGCCATAACGATGATGTCTTTGTAGAGCACTATATTGATCTTATGGTCTTCCACCTGAAGAGCACCTGTATTTCCCTCTTGATTTTCTCTCTTGATGGGGATAGAAAGAAAGGAACAGGACTGAAACTTACGTTACGTGTGTGTGCTCTCGGAAGAGGACCATGACCCTTTAGATAACCAGAATTAGGTTAATTACTTAAGTTTTAGTATTTCCAATTTGGCCCTCATCAAATTAGAAATTGCTCTATGATCTCTACACGATTTTATTTTCATGACATATGCTTTTAGCCAAAACTTTAATTTAGTCAGATCACTTTATTATTTGGCTTAATAAATAATGGCCCTAACACATTTAAATTATGTATCATATATATACATGACCCAAATTTTTCCAACAATCTCCCACTTGGTCACAAATATATATGTCCTTACAACCTTACAAATGTGTTAGACTTTATGAGCTCAAAATTGCCATTATATTCCTTTAGCATACTCCAAAAGTCCTGTCCATTAATCATATTAGGATATAGAACCAAACCGAGCTTTTCATTGCATCATCGCAACTAAAACCAACAATGATTACTCATTCTAACATAACCAAATGACATGGATTCATCATGAAATGTGTAGCATGAAAAATTACGTGAAGGTGATCTGTACACGTCTATTTTCAAGCTGGTCCAAACTTTAACTTATCGAGATCGATATAATATCCTTAATGTACAAAGTGTAATGAATGAACGAAAAAACCGCATATCTATAGATAACCAAATATGTCCAAAAATCAATGTATACATATATGAAATTAAACATAGAACATAAAATATATGAAAGTGACTAACTCCCACTAAACCACAAATTCCTCAAACCGTAAAACACCCATGTGAGCAACATGCTCATGAAAGACCTTGGGCGGAAGTCCTTTAGTTAGAGGATATGCTATCATGGAGTTTGTCCTTAAGTGTTCTATGGAAATCTGTCCACTTTGTACTCTTTCCTTAACAATACAACTGATTTATTGTCACAATATAACTTAAGTGGTCTTTCAATACCTTTCACAATTTGCAGCCACTGTGACAAAATTTCTCGGCCATATTCCATGATTTGATACCTCATAGCAAGTTACAAATTCTTGACATTCTACAAAATCTGAGTCGGAAAACCCAGTGATCTCCAGCTGGTCGACCTCCTATATGTGAGCATATAATCTTTTGTTCTCTTTAAATATCTTATGACCCTTTTTGCTTGCTTTTCAATGGTCTATTCCTGGATTGCTTAAATATCTGCCTAGAACCCCAACTATATATGTTATGTCGGATGCGTACATACTTGGGCATAGATCAAACTCCCTACAACTGATGCATAGGGAATCTTTTGCATTTCCTCAATTTCCAAATTCCCTTTGGGCACTTGATTGAGACTAAACTTGTCTCCCTTTAAACTTGTGATACATACAATCATCAACAATATTCATCTTGAAGCCAAATGAGTTTCATACCTTCGGTAATGGGACAAGTTCCCAATAACCTTATTGTCTTGCATGGACTTATACTTATCCTATTGCTTCAATCCACTTTTGAGATTTAGAACCTTATATAGCTTGACGGAAGTTAAGCTGGATCATCTTCCATTATATCATTATTTTCCTCATGTTCCTGAAGAAATACCATGTAATCATCAGAAATAACACTTCTTCTTTCTCTAGTGGATCTCTGCAAAGTTATTAGCTCATGATGCACAAGTTCTTGAGGATCTTGAGTTTGTTCTTCATGAACAACCAAATCATCTTGAGTAAGGGGTTCATCAACAATGCCTTGTGGAGGTTAGAACTTACTTTATCAAAAGTAACTATTTGAATTGGTTACGAAATTGTTACCGATTCTTCCTCCAAGATGAAGTTCTTAATCTTATTCTTCCCCCAAACTCAATATCCTCAAAGAACGTAGCAGTTCCAGTCTCAAAAAATTGTCTTTAATGTGGGATCATAATATTTATATCCCCTGGATCTTTCAGCATAACCAATAATATAACCACTTACTTGTTCGGAGTCCAATTAAACTAATTATGCTCACATTATATAAAAAATAAATAATATATATTCAAATAGTGGTTTAACCCATCTCAAGATACCCAATGCACCATCAATATCAAGTCTTTGGACGAGTAATATTAAGCTGCTAGAGGTATCTTGTTGTAATAATCAAACATTGACAATAAAGCACGTCCAACAACAAACCAGTCTTTGGATTGATTTATCATCGACAAAGCAAATCCTTATAATTATCACATGTTTATCATTACAAGTGTGTATGCAATTCGGCCAAATATTAATCTTCCTTTGGGCCGACTAATACTCGCATGAATATACACAAACACTAACATTCAATATTTTTCATGAAGCGCCCGATTCAAGAGAAGTTACTTTGGTGACTTCTTGACTCAATTTGCTCACAAAAAATATTAAACTACCAAAAATTGAATATTTTATTTATATAACAAAACCAAATATTTAATATTTGCAAACTAATTCAAAAGAGAATCACCTCATTATAATTCTACTAAGGATGAACACCTCCCTAGAATCTCATTAGGGATGAACACCTCATTTGAACAAATCAAAGGATGAAAAAAGGCCTCATTTTCCACCAATACATAAAGGATGAACATCTTCCTAAAATCACACTAGGGATGAAACGAGAGATAGTTACGAGTCTCTTTAGCATACTGCTCTAAAACCTTAAAAGGGAATTAAACGAGTAATCACTCGGACCCTAATTTAACATCAAATTTTCCTTAAATTCCTAAGGGATAGAGGCAATAAAATAATAACAGCCACACATGTGGAAACATTCATCATTTACCTAAGATTCTACGTGTTGGGAACTCCACAAACACCACCCCCAATTCCAAACCCATAAAGTTAAATAAAAACAAAAGATTCAAAAAAGAACGAGAGAACCCAATACAAGAAAAATTGAAATATGAAACACTTATTTCTTTCTCGATAAAACTTGAAACTTAAAGCTGAAACAAAAGTGAAAAACGAAGAAGAAGAAGAATCCATAGCTTCCTCCACGGTTCCATCGGCAAGCGAGAATCAGATTGGGGATGTTACCCCCAAATTTAAATTTTAGGGTTCACAAAAATTAGAGATTATCCTCCACTTAGGGTTCATAAAATTGGGTAATCTGAATTGTTTAAAACAAAATTAATCCTAATTTTCATAATTAGGGTTCTATAAATTAAACGAGACATGAATCAAATATGGGCGACTCGATACCAATTGTTGGAAAAACAATAATAATAATAATAATAATCCCGATTTTGATTCTAACAATCAAACATAAACATAATCCCATACTTGATAAACATGCTTGTAAAGCTGAATGCAAAGCGTACTCGAATTAGCCATAACGATGATGTCTTTGTAGAGCACTATATTGATCTTATGGTCTTCCACCGAAGAGCACTCGTATTTCCCTCTTGATTTTCTCTCTTGATGGGGATAGAAAGAAAGGAACGGGACTGAAACTTACGTTCGTGTGTGTGCTCTCGGAAGGGGACCATGACCCTTTAGATAACCAGAATTAGGTTAATTACTTAAGTTTTAGTATTTCCAATTTGGCCCCTCATCAAATTAGAAATTGCTCTATGGTCTCTACACGATTTTATTTTCATGACATATGCTTTTAGCCAAAACTTTAATTTAGTCAGATCACTTTATTATTTGGATTAATAAATAATGGCCCTAACACATTTAAATTATGTATCATATATATACATGACCCAAATTTTTCCAACAAAAATTATTATGAATGATGTTTTTCTTTTCAAAATTTAATTTATTTTACCAGTTAATTTATTTTATTAATGGACAGCAACAGTTAATGATATTTTTAATTAGAACAAAAGAATATGAATTTTACTAAAAATGAAGAAGAAAACATGAAGTGAATATGTCATGACATTTTTCTTGTCACACGTCAGGTAAATCACGTCATTTGCTTTTAAATGTAATGAAATGATTATATTGACTTCAAAGTTATTAAAATAAAAACAATTTTTAAACCACAATAATATCATTCATCCTCGTGGTTTTACAGATATATTTGGTTTACAGAATCCATAGAAGGGACCAAAGTTAAAAGATAAAAAATAGATATTTTATTTTAAAACAACGAAATAAACTGAAATTGCAGATTTATAGCATACTCTCCATTTTAAAATTTAATTAAAAATGTAGGTTTTATAAATTTATGAAGTAAAATAAATAAAAACAATTAATTATGAATTAGGAGAAATTGAAAGGTAATTTAGTCTATATATATAAACAATATTAGTGATTGCATCAATCACCAACTTGCTATTTTTTATTGCAATTATTATATGTATAAAGACGAACAATGAACTGTTTTCAAAATCCTCGTGGAAATTTAGAATTCTTGGTCAGTGAGAGTAGGTAGTTGAAATTAATTGGCTTAATTTGGTGTATTATATTTTAATGATCTAATGATTTCTCATTTGAGAATTAATCGATTTTTGACCTAATAAGTATTCATTAGGTTGGAAAATGACTCTAAAATAATGTTTAACCTAAGGATACCTTTGATTCATTGGTGTCCCTTTCTTTCGATTTCTACGAGTTTATGTTCTGACTCACATGGTAGAGTTAACAAAAATTGAAATTTGCTCCATTCCATTGATAACATTATGATATCCACCAAACCCATTCGTTACTGCAGCTTTAGCTTCATCAATGATCGAAAAGTGATGATGAGCTTGATATTATCTTCTTCGTTCACCACTTTCTTAAAAATGTTATTTCTTTGATGTTCATGCATAAATAAGATTTTTTTATTTTTTTTTTACCATTCCAGAATATGTTCTTCTATCTCTTTCTCAATCCTTTGATTCTATCACCAGTGCTTAAAAAGGAGTAACTTCTCTTCTGCTTCATTTTTCCCATGGCTCTCTCCCAGGCACGATTTTAAAGACAAAATCCAATCTCGAGACTATTAAATATGCAGAAATCATGTGACACGGTTAAAAGATGACAGAACATTACCTTCGCTTTTTTAGACCCAGGTAAACGTCAACGATGTTACTTTAATAAACGCGAACTGTCTGTTCCCCTACCAACCACATGGTAAATTTAAAATTCATCCTCTCACACTTTAACAGGTATACAATTAAAAAAAAAGTTCTACAAGTTGTTACTTTAATAATCTTCGGTTTAACTTTATTTCCACTTCGATATCCATGCCACATGAGCGTGACTAATAAATTAACGGTGATTATACACAACTGCATTATTCGAGATTATTGTGTATGTAAAAGTGTAGACTTTAATTCAATGTATTATTTATTAATTTGAATTTTATATTGTTAGATTCATAAAAATTATATTTAACAGTAAGGATAGCTGGATTTGACATACATGTTATTTTTAAGTATACAAATTTATGTTGTTACTTGTCGTTAACTGTACGAATTATTTAATGTTGTAGTATATTTATGTTTGTTACATTAAAAAACCATCAAGAAAGAAATTTTTATTCGTCAGTATTTGTATGAAAATAATGTTAAAAAAGATTCAAAATTCTTTCCCACATTCAATACCAATAACTATTTCAAAGAACTCAATTGAGTCAAAACGAATTTTTTTTTAAAAAGGAAAAAATAAATTGAAAATTATATAAAAGATTAAGTACAGATTTAAGCTATAAATAGTATAAAAATAATTGTAATAAATTTGAGTAAAACAAAGTATATATTTAACAAAATTAATAGATAAATAAGTTGAAGAGAAGAACAGGATAAGTGATGATATGATTAATAAAAGCCAGTGTCATTATTTAAAATACAAAATTATATCGTAAATAATATATATAACTATTCTTCGTTACTTTTTATATATAGAAATATTCAAGTATATCTAAAAGTTAAAAGAATAACTTGTATTATCTGTTAAATATGTTGTGGCGGGAATGAATCTTGCTAATTTCAATGTGAAATAATGCATGCAGTATTATTAAAAGTTGACGAGACTCTCTTTTTTGCTGGTAAACGTCAACGATATTACTTATTTTATTGAACTAAGAAAACAACTTACCAAGAAGAAAACAGGAAATAAATATTATTTTATTTATTTATCTATTTTATTATATAAAACATGAAGAAGATTTTAATAAAAATTACTTTAAAAATAAAATTAAATATTTTACTATAAATCTTATAATTAAAGTATTTTAAAATTTAATCAAAATTATTTATATAAATAATTTTTTTAATTTTAAATAATTTTCTTTATTTTTAAACAATTCAAATATAATATCCATAATCAAATATTTACTTCTATTTTTTAAGATAGTAGATCTCTTTGGAGATGGTGTAACAATTTTAAACATTATTTAACTTTATTTACGTCTAAATTGATGATGGCTCACATGTCACGTGATCGTGTTTGTTTACTAATGAAATTTTTTTTGTCATTATATGTATGGATTATAAATAGGAAGATTTTTTTTATCTTATTATATTCTTTTATTCTTCCTTCAATTGTTGTATGATAGGTATTGAATGCATTTTATATTTTATGTAGTCATTTTTATTTAATATTTCCTTAAAACAAAAATAGGGAGGATTTCTACAACTTTTAATAGGAGGACTAGGACATAACATTTTTTTTAAGAGTAAGAGGATACAATATAACATTAATTACTCGTATAAAGGTAAAATGAAAAGAAAGATAAAAATATAACGTGTAACGGAAGGATAGAACCATTGGAGACAAAAAAAATGAAGACTTTATTACTAATTTAATTAAGAAATGTCATTGATTCATGGAGAAAATGTTTAAGTTCCTTTAACAAATATAGAAAATGATACTTTCACGAACTAAATCTATACCATTCTTATAAATAACTCTTTTTTAATATTATAATAATAATTTTACTTTATTTTTATTTTTATTAAATCATTCTATAAATTATTATATTAATAAAAATAAGATATTTAAAAGGTTACATGATTTCTTATTCTCAATATGATTTCTAATTCTCAAAATATCACCACTCAACAACTATTTACGGAGAAAACTAAGCTTCTCATGTCTATATATAAGGTTACACTTCCTTCCCACTCTAGACACCAAGGCCACTGAAATCTTTCTTTTTTCTTCATTTTAGTTGTTCCTTCTTGTTTGCATTCCACTGGGAAAAATGGTACTAACCAAAATGGTTAAGAGGGCTGCTGTGAAGCTTGAAAAACGGCCAGCAGAGGCGCCCAAAACTTACATGGACACGGTCTTGACCTTAGCAGAAGCCATCAGGTTCGGCTATGCAGAGACACTTGGTAAATGGAACCTCTTGGACTTACCAAGAGCCATCCTTTATACAGTCATCGATAAGGTAAATCCATTTCCAACTGTCCCTTCTTTCAACTTTTCTTCGTAAGTAAATGTTCTGAATGAGTTCTATATATATATATATAGCGTAAGAAAACAGTTGCAATCGAATGTGGAGAAAGAGATGATTGTAAACAAATGACAGACCCCGAATTAGAGGAGTTGTATGAGCTCGAAAAATGCTTGTCACGGGCCAAGCTTTTCAGCAAAAAAAGCTTTCGTGTCTTTCTATTTGCTGCTGGATTCGTCAAGGAGGATGTTATCCTAAGGAAGAGAAGAGCTCGGGTATATACGTTTCCCTTCTAAATTTTTTTCTTTAGTTCTACTCTTTACATTCTAAAAATGGTTATTTAGTTTTCATATTTTATTCTACATAATTGATCAAGAGGAAGCAAATCTACAAAATCTCGGTTTAAGTAACAATTTTTGTTTTTGGCAGATTCTTAAGCCTGCTTTCACAGTGATACGAGATAAAAAATCCGAATGTTTGGTTGTGTTCATCCGAGGAACTCGTAGCATAAAAGACACTCTGACAGATGCAATCGGTGCTCCTGTTTCCTTCAGTCATTTCGTTTGCAGTGATGGTGAACTGAAGAAGAACAACGTGGTTTCAGGACATGCACACCGTGGCATGGTTGCTGCAGCTCGTTGGATCAACAAGCACTGCACTCCTATACTTCTTAGGGAACTTCTTCAATATCCCCATTACCAAATCAAGGTATTGTGTTACACTTAAAATCCCGATTTGAAAAATTTTACCAAAAATTCTCCCATCGAGACACGATTTCACAATGAACTCGTACTACATGAAACAATTTAGTCTGCTAATAAATCAGGTCCCACCTTACCCTTGTTACAATCTTCATGTCAGGTTTGGTATTTTCCTAAGAAGCAATTCTCCCATCCGTAAAACAGTTAGTATTTTAGGAAGATAGGAAAGATTGGTTAAGGTTAAGTTTCATAACGAGATTTTTGTAAAAAATAGTTTTTAAAAAAAATAGACAAATAAGAAAAAGTTTGGATGAAAGTTGATAATAATTCATATTATAAATGATACAATATATATAAAAATTTCTATTAATTTTTCACACTCATTATATAATTGGTATTACTTAATTTAGGTTTGATCTATTATTTTCTAAATATTTTTAATTTTAAAATTATCTATCTTTTATTTTTAAACATATCTAAAATCTTTTAAGAATTTTATATTAGTCATACGAAATTCCTAATTTTAATAATATTTAGGATTTTATTTTTTAGATTTTTATAAAATTTGCATCATTTTTTAACAAAAATCATGTCCAACAAACCCTTCTTCTTAAACAAACCAAGAATATTTCAGGAATTTTTAGAAGAAGCCACCTTCCAAAACTAGTACTTCCTAAACTTTCAACCATGATGATTCGGACAATGTTCAATAAAGATTTTGTGCCTATTTTTCACACCAAAATGAGTTGCTTCACAATGGTTTCTGTGTTAGAATTGATAGTGTTCTTCGAACTCTAATTGAATCTGCTGAAGGTAGCTTCACTACCCAAAAGCCAATTTTCTTCTAGTTCTTTATAGTTTCTCGTTATGAAAAAGGTGGTCCAGGAATCTACAACCATGAAAATATAAATCGTTAAATGACATAATTTTTAAAATTATAAATAAGAGCAAGACTGTAAAACAAAACTCATGTTAATTAAAAAAATAAAAAATCTCAACTGAAACTTAATAAGATTGCTCGATTTCTTCGTTAACATACTGAATTCACCTCATATAAATCGTGTCTCTAAACAAGATTTGACCTTCTGTCGTAACATTTATTGAATTAATTAGACCCTTTCAGATGGATTTGTGAGCCAGATACGTAGAAAAGCCTTAAATGCTACATTCTAATTCTTCAATTTTCTTATAAACTATAATTATGTATTCTTGCAACTCAACCTATATTTGACCTTTTCTTTTTTGTTATAATCATAATAATCTTGATTTGATAGATAGTTGGGCACTCCCTTGGTGGTGGTACTGCTGCGCTGTTGACATATATGCTTAGAGAAGTAAAGCAGTTCTCTTCATGCACTTGTGTCACCTTTGGCCCAGGCATGTTTACGTCACTTATAAAACATTTTAGTTTGTTCTAGATTGAGTAAATAATTCTATTGCTTCTTATTGTAATGGAATCATCACATGATCTTTATCTGCGTTCTGGAGATAGAAAGTATTTGTAATTGTTTTTCACAAGCTCAAAATCTTGGAGTTGGACGAGATAAAACAATTAAAAATGAGTTTTGTACATAGGTCTTTGACCCATGTAAAATATCTCACTTTTTACAAGACTTAATTCTACATAATTTTGAAATCGATGTAAGAAGTGTCTCAAAACTGATGTAGAAACTTTAGGTATTTATTAAAAAAGAGATAGATAACATTTCAACACTGTATATCACATACATGTTTTTTTTCTAATTTTATCTTTAATGTAATAATCATCATAGCTTTAATTAAGTCATTTTTTTCACGATTATGATTTTTCATGCAGCTGCTTGTATGTCACGGGAGTTAGCGGCACATGGGAATTCATTTGTGACTTCGGTTATAAATGGTCATGACATGGTGCCTACATTGTCAGCTGCTTCTGTTCATGATTTCATCTCCGAGGTGCTCAAATTAGTTCTTTCAACTTTCCATGGTTTTTGAAAATTTTCTTTTATAAGTGAGTGACAAATACTTATTTATGCCAATGACTAGATTTAGGATAAAGTTATCAGTAAGAATAGTTCCTTCTTTGCTCAAGTTGGCTTGTTAGGTCACTAAATAATCAATACTTATTGCATGAATTACAGGCTCTGAAAAAGCGTAAGGAATTCATAAATTCTACTTTAAGCGCAATTGGATCTCGCATACCTTTTGCATCTAGTGCAAAAGCCTTAGCAGATCATGCAGTATCCCGTGGGACCGAGGTACTTTCAACCTTCGTTGTTTATATTTTACCATCATAATGCAGTTATAGTAAGAAGAAAAAAAAAACTTTACATTACAACTTTTTGCAGTAACAAACACACATTTTGCAAGCGAATTTCTCATATCATACATGTTTTATTTGTCTGAATTACATAGATTCTTCTTTGTACCTAAAGGTTTTGATGAAGAGTAAACAAAGAACTCGGTCACTGATAACCTGGTCCCGACGTGAGAATACTGTTGCATTGACAAGCTCTAAATCAGAAAATTTGGCTGAAGCCTCTCGACTATCAGAGACAAGTTATGAAGTGACTGAAGAGATAAAAATCTCCGAGTTTACGAGTGATGAGGACGATGGATCTAAATACTCCAGTGAAGGATCTGATAATGATGACATGGATGACGAAGAGGAGCAAATCATTTCTGCAACTCACAACGATGACTTGAATCAATATGTGAAGGAGCTTCAACTAGAGGCGCAGGATGATAACCCTAACATTCATGGTGCCAATGAAAAAGAAGTAGCCACAAAAGAAGGCACAGAAGCAGAGAAGAATGGCGAGGTTGTTCATAGTGAAGAAAGTGGAGGTGGTGCAGTGGCACCATCAGACAACTTGGGTAGACATCATCTTTATCCACCAGGAAGGATCATCCACATTTTCCCTGCACCTTCCTCCGAAAATTCTAAATCAAACCACTATGATGATGCCGATGATAAACATGTGTTGTTCTATGAAACGGGTAGAGAACTGTATGGAGAGCTCAGACTTTCAAGGAGGATGATACTTGATCATATGACAAGCAACTATCTGACGGTGTTACGACAATTAATCAATCAACAACAGGAGAAAGAGAATTCCCATCGTCGTGGATTTTAAGCCTAAGAATAATTTGGAAAATATGGAACCTTGGAAGTAAACTTGGGCCTCTTTAAGTATTATTCTAATTAATTATGGTGTTGTTGCTTGTATTGGAGTTCTGACACTTTCACCTTGTTTCATTGGTTGTGCTGATGATACTAGGGGAAGTGCGTTGGTGTGGTTATGTTCTTCTAGTACCAGAGATAACAATGCTGATTTATGTCATAATTGTCCTCAAGGGATAAATTGGGTCTCACAAAACAGCCTATACACTTCTATATTCATAATCTACATTGGGTCAAACATTAGTATACAAATTAATCCAATCAATTTAATTGTTAAAAAATATATTTGAACGGGATGGAATGATTCGTTGGATTAGTTCTTAAAAAAAATCAAGATTTTTTTTTATTGAATAATTGATTTAATCAATTCAGATTCAATCTAACCTGTGTGTACCCTTAATTTTTTTGAAGAGAGGAAATCAATGTTTTAAAATAAAATGAATTGAAATAGTATATATAAGAGATTCACAATGTATTCTTCAGTGTTTTTTTCAAAAAATACAAATATTACAATAAAAAGACAAGTTATACATATCTATAGCTCTTAATTAATTAGTATATTACAAACTTTATACTACTATATAACGACTGTTCTAAGCGTTTAACTGAAGAAAAACATAAACCATGGTCAATTCTACAAACCAATGTTATCCCATTTCGACAACGACAGTTCTACCATATATTTGTTAAGTGACATAAATTTATTTATAATATGAGTTTTTAAGAAATACTTAATAATAAGTGTGACCTTAATTTTTGTTAGAAAATTCTATATTCAATTATGTACAGAAATAAAAAAAAAAAAATCAATCGACTACTAAAAAAATAAATTAGAAAAGTAGAAAAAGTTGATTGGTCAACGAAATAGGCCAATATGGCAAGGGAATTCTCGCTCAAGCTAGACATATCTATCTCGCTTGAGCTAGAAAAGCTGCAACTCATAGTGGTTCTCTGGTTGAATTTCGCTCAAGCGAAACATTACTCGCTTAAGCGGACATGTTGCAACTCTCAGTGGCTCTCAGACTCAATGTCGTCAAGCGAGGCATTCCTAGCTTGAGCTAGAAATGCTGCAACTTTTGGTGGCTCTCGGGCTTAACATCACTCAAACAAGGGGACTCTAGCTTGACTGAGACTAGGTTAAAGTTTCTTTCTCGCTTAAGTGAGGAACGGTAGCATGAGCGAGAAAAAGTTTTGTCTCTGGTCATAAGGTTATTTTTACAATAAACCATTAGGAAGTGTAAAAAGGAGAAAGAAAGACAAAGAAATAGATTGACAAAAGAAGGTTAGAGAACAAAGAGATTAAAGAACATATTCTCGTGGATAAGGTTAGTCTTCTTATTATGATTTATGTATGTTGATGAATGTCATTTTACTTTTTATTTCTTGATCTAAGAGCATTTTTTAAGCTAGTTATTTTATTCATAAACCATGTATTTAACATGTTTTCATTAAAAACATAGCATAATTCAGTTTTTCTTAATTTATTGCATTTTACGTAGCTTTAACATAATAAATAATATACATGCATACATTCACATTGTATATTTCCTTTTCTTTTTTTGTAAGAGAGGTAATTTGAGATGGGCCAAAGTGATGAAATGAAATGTCCAAATTGAAGTCGTCAAACTTCACTCTTCTTAAAAGTTCAAGTTTGCTCTCACTTGTAGAAGTTGCAAATAAAAATTTTGAATCAAGCAAATTAATTGGTGCGGAAATCCAATCAAGTTGAATTAAATGTCAGTAGGAATCAAGAATTAAATGTAAATTAGTGTTGAATCACTCAAAATAGGAAAGAAACAGACTATTTTCTCCAAATTAGTCCTAGAAACACAGCAATCATATTTTGCAATTATTTATTTGAGAAATATTTGATTTTATTGTAATTAATTTTAGGCTTAATTTCTCTTATTCAAACCCGTATAAATAAAGGTCTTACGACAACCCACTACCACAATCTCCTAACTTGGGGTGAGAACTGTTGTTTCGTCTCGTCCCCATTTTCTTTTCCTACTCTCAGTTCGTAGTTTAGTCTTTAGTTAGGCAAGTTCATCTATCGCTATTGCACTTCGGTCTCGTTTCTCTTTTATTTTATTTTCAATTTCTATTAAATTTTTTAGTTTATCTTGTTCTAGTTATTTTATTTATTTAGTACTCATTTTAATTTCGTTGCTTAATTGTTTAGAATTTTTATTTTAGTATTGCATAATTTTCATTTTCAAGTTGCATCGCTTTCCAATTCGCAATTTAGTATTAAAGTTATCACTTTCAGAAATTTTAAATTTAATTATTGCACTATTTTATTTCCAAACCATTCTTGTTTCTTGCACTTTTAATTAAAAACACTTTATTTTAATTTTATAAAATTTAGTTATTTAAATTCTACATCAATTTAATTTTAATTACTACACTATTTTGTTTTAAAGTAATTTTTTATTCATGCACTTTTAATTAAAAAAAACTATTTTAATTTTAAAAATTTTAGTTATTTAAATTTTGTTCCATTTAATTTGATTGTCGTTTGATTTTAATTTTTATTATTCTCGCATTAAATTAATTTTTTTTCATTCTTTTATTTATTTCCCTATTTATCTGTTTTAGAGGGAAGGACATGTGATAATACATATGTTCCTATAATTATGTCCTTGTAAGATTCGACAACTGTTAGTTATACTATATTAGTTTAACAATTTGTTTATTATTTTTAATCAAGTATTTTGTGTGACCAAAATATTGTTATCAAATTATGTAAAAAATCAAGAATTTAAAGATTATGTAAATAATTTTTTAGAATAAACTAGGAACGTAAGAAAACTACATAATTAATTTACATGTGGTATGAGAGCATAGTTATTAGATTTATAATTTTTCTTTGGTGATAATTTTTTCTAAATTAAAATAAATCCTAATTATGAATTTAAGAATTTTTTTATCAGATTAGAAATAAACCTAACTCCTAATTTATGATTTCAAACTCCAATCAATTTCAAATTAAACCTAATTCCTAATTTATGTTTTCAAGCTACAGATCAATTTCAAATTGAAACTAATTCCTAATTTATGTTTTCAAGCTACAATCAATTTCAAATTGAAACTAATTTTAATTACTACACTATTTTGTTTTAAAGTAATTTTTTATGCATGCACTTTTAATTAAAAAAAATTATTTTAATTTTATAAATTTTAGTTATTTAAATTTTGTTTCCATTTAATTTGTTTGTCGTTTGATTTTAATTTTTATTATTCTGCATTAAATTAATTTTTTTTTCATTTATTTCCCTATTTACTACTTTAGAGGGAAGGACATGTGATAATAAATATGTTCCTATAATTATGTCCTTGTAAGATAGTTATACTATATTAGTTTAACAATTTGTTTATTATTTTTAATCAGTATTTTGTGTGACCAAAATATTGTTATCAAATTATGTAAAAAATCAAGAATTTAAAGATTATGTAAATAATTTTTTAGAATAAACTAGGAACGTAAGAAAACTACATAATTAATTTACATGTGGTATGAGAACATAGTTATTAGATTTATAATTTTTCTTTTGTGATAATTTTTTCTAAATTAAAATAAATCCTAATTATGAATTTAGGAATTTTTTTATCGATTAGAAATAAACCTAATTCCTAATTTATGTTTTCAAACTCCAATCAATATCAAATTAAACCTAATTCCTAATTTATGTTTTCAAGCTACAGTCAATTTCAAATTGAAACTAATTCCTAATTTATGTTTTCAAGCTATAGTCAATTTCAAATTGAAACTAATTTTAATTACTACACTATTTTGTTTTAAAGTAATTTTTTACTCATGCACTTTTAATTAAAAAAAACTTTATTTTAATTTTATAAATTTTAGTTATTTAAATTTTGTTTCCATTTAATTAGTTTGTCGTTTGATTTTAATTTTTATTATTCTGCATTAAATTAATTTTTTTCATTTTTTCATTTATTTCCCTATTTACTGCTTTAGAGGGAAGGACATGTGATAATAAATATGTTCCTATAATTATGTCCTTGTAAGATAGTTATACTATATTAGTTTAACAATTTGTTTATTATTTTTAATCAAGTATTTTGTGTGACCAAAATATTGTTATCAAATTATGTAAAAAATCAAGAATTTAAAGATTATGTAAATAATTTTTTAGAATAAACTAGGAACGTAAGAAAACTACATAATTAATTTACATGTGGTATGAGAGCATAGTTATTAGATTTATAATTTTTCTTTTGTGATAATTTTTTCTAAATTAAAATAAATCCTAATTATGAATTTCGGAATTTTTTTATCGATTAGAAATAAACCTAATTCCTAATTTATGTTTTCAAACTCCAATCAATATCAAATTAAAACTAATTCCTAATTTATGTTTTCAAGCTACAGATCAATTTCAAATTGAAACTAATTCCTAATTTATGTTTTCAAGCTACAGATCAATTTCAAATTGAAACTAATTTTAATTACTACACTATTTTGTTTTAAAGTAATTTTTTATTCATGCACTTTTAATTAAAAAAAACTTTATTTTAATTTTATAAATTTTAGTTATTTAAATTTTGTTTCCATTTAATTTGATTGTCGTTTGATTTTAATTTTTATTATTCTCGCATTAAATTAATTTTTTTTCATTCTTTCATTTATTTCCCTATTTACTGTTTTAGAGGGAAGGACATGTGATAATAAATATGTTCCTGTAATTATGTCCTTGTAAGATAGTTATACTATATTAGTTTAACAATTTGTTTATTATTTTTAATCAAGTATTTTGTGTGACCAAAATATTGTTATCAAATTATGTAAAAAATCAAGAATTTAAAGATTATGTAAATAATTTTTTAGAATAAACTAGGAACGTAAGAAAACTACATAATTAATTTACATGTGGTATGAGAGCATAGTTATTAGATTTATAATTTTTCTTTTGTGATAATTTTTTCTAAATT